TATCAACAATTTCGCCTCCAACATGTATTTTGTTAAAATCCTTCAAAATTACTATGATCATCCCTATATGATGCAAAAAGCTAATCATAAATATCATCATTTACAGTTTCATCATATGGGTCCCAGTTAGTCTTATACTACATATATCAAATAAAATCTAGAAAATTTACATTTTAGGCTTAATCTTATCTATAGTTCACCTTATATGCAGAAATATATGGTGTTTAGTTTATTTTGTGTTATGGCATATCAACCTCAATGGGTTATTTAATGCCAACAAGATATTTGGAATAGATTTGTATGACTAGAACACGTACAGGGTATGATAGATAAATTGTTGCCAAAATTATGCAAGTAACACTGGCATCTTATTTTAACAGATAACTTTACCAAAATTACACAAAAACATCTTGAAATATCAAAGAATAAAATTATTCAATAAAATCTCCACTGGCTTCAAACATGGCATCTTGACAACTTTGGAATCTCCTGCAACTTTCTGGAAGGCCTCCTTGTTTAAGTTGGTGAATGCTGCCATAATCATTGCCTTCATTTCTATGAGTTTTGTTGGTCATTTGTGTCCAATATAAAATAATCGGGTTGCAGTCTGGGGAGTTAGCTGGCCAGATGTAAGGGGTGATGTGGTTTCAGAAATTGTCTGATAACCATGTTGTTTCTCCTGCTTATGTGGCAGACATAAGGTCTTCAGAATTGTATCTTGACCCAGGATAGCAATTAATCCTCAAAGCACTTTATATAGGCCTCCAGGTTGAGTCTAAGGCCATCACTAACAAATTTGGGAGTTCTTTTCTTATCAGAATCATCAGAATGAGTTTTTGAAGCTGCTGTCCCTTCGTAATCACCATTAGACTCATCCCACTCTTTCCAAATCCTCTGGACTGTACTCAGATTGACACCCAAACACTCTGAAATGTTCATATTAGAACTTCCGGTGTGAATGCCAATCAGTACAGCATGCCATTTCCAAATTTCTGGCCGAGTGAATTGCATCATGGTGTTTTTTTTTTCTCATAGATGGTGCCTAACTGACTGTACTATACTGTGCTGTCGACAAAATCAAAAACGAACCATCTGCATGCATAAAATTAAAAATATAAAATGGTAACTATTTACTTACCACAGCCTGTATTTGTAAGTTTGTCAGAGATCAGGTTTCATTGATGCATTTTTGTAAAGAAGGTTTGTAGAGTCTTTGAATTCTAATAGCTGAGCAAGATACTCTGTCACTTGTGGAAATAGTCAACCAAAATGACTGCAAACAACAATAGGGAGGTGGAGTAATATTTTGAGTTCATACTGTTGGCAGTAAAAACTACATACAGTTCAAAGTTGATCATTTTAACATAAATGCAAAGAATTATTTTAAGTTTTCAGACAAGATGTTTGTTTTGATTAGTCCAGGTGTAAACCAAGAAACTCTAAGCTGAAATGACAATCTTCCGGCAAGACAATCCTCCTTAACATTCTACAAAGTTCACGATTGATCGACAAAGTTGAGTACTGGTCATACCTTGCAAAAAAGGTTTCAAAGATGCCAACTTAACCCTAGAACACTAACCATCAATTAAAGTTACACCATTACAAACCATGGGTATATCATACCCAATTTTGAAAATATCAAAAAAAAAAAAAATTAAATATAAATCTTTATTTGAAATATTTTACATGCAGACACTTCAAACTTTGTACTTTGAGTTAACATTAACAGAAACTGAAAAACATTATTTAGTTAAGAAAATCAAGTACTGAAAATTGTAATTAAAAATAGGAAAATTTGCGCTGGGTACTATGGGTACCCATGGTCAATGTTCTAGGGTCAATGAAATTTACCCCCAGCTTTTCTAGAAGGTTTTTGTCCAATCATTAAAAGTGATGTATATGAGAAAACAATATTCAATGGAAAACAATATTCAAGCAAAGAAAACACCCTGGGAAGAAATAAAATTAATGTTAAATTTGATACAATAAAAATATTAACAAAACCAATGAAGAAGCAATTGATGATGGTGACAGGATGTCAAGAGGTCCATATTAACATTTAAGACAAGAAAATTATAATTTATTTGGGTATATGGCATATTGTTATTCTATGACATGTCTCTTTTTTGAGATTTATTTATAAATAATTTTGCTCTACTTATATATAGAATTTTAGACTCCCAAAACAAGTTATTATCAATATTATTAATAAGGATCAATATTTTAATTTCTGATTGATTAATTGTTCTCCTAGAGCTTATCAATGCTTTGCAGGTTATTTAAAGTCAAAAAATATTTTTAAATTGAAATAATTTTTTTTTGTGGGGAGAGAATAATAGTTTAATGATACAAGTCTTACTCATTAACCCATAGCTAGGGGAGAAGAGGAGGATTTATACCTTTCTCAAGGGTATTTATGTATATGAATATAATGAACTCAATGTGAATTGGAACTCAGCTCAATGATTAATAATTGAGCCATTATTTAGTTATGTATCTAAGTCTCTCTATATACCCGTCTCCATCTAAGTCTCTCACTATGCATATCTATATCTCAGTTCATTCATATCTATCCTTCTCGCTACCTCCACAGATGCCCATCAAAAACTGTTATCTAAGATGCCCATTTAATATCTACAGAACAGATACGCATCCATCTCAGTCCGTTCATATCTATCAATCACAGCCTCTGCTCATCTATCTATACCAATCTATATCCCTCTCTCTTATTTAAATTTTTATTAAGAATATCAAATATATATATATATATATATATATATATATATATATATATATATGAATGTATATAGATGCACACATATGGAAGCAATTTTTTTAGTGTATATTTCTGCACATGCATACAAAACTCTTCATTGTTTTTTCACTGGCAAGGAGTTTGTGTGTCAATACAAATGAATAATTATGTGTTGCCATGGTAGCAGAATGATTAGTCATTAAGATGAAAATTGCTAATTGCATGTAAATCAAATTTCTTTTGATACAGTTGAAAAGTGAGAGACAGTTTGGTAGCAACAAGGGAGATAACAAGAAGAGAAGGTAAAAATGAAAAAGAAAATTGTTCAGAAGAAAAAGAAAATAATCAAGGAGAAGGGAGAAAAAATCAAGACGTGGAGGAAGAAAGAGAGAAAAGTAGCATATATGTAAACAAATTAAATGTAGAAAGAATGAAAGAGAAGGAGGAGGAAAAAAAATTTAAAAGTAAAAGAATGAATAAAGGAGAAAGAGTTAATAAAAGTAATTCTTCTAGAAAAAAAAAGAAAGAAAAATATATGTAGATAAGGAAAATGTGGAAAGAAACAATGAATGAAAGAAAAAAAAGGAGAAAAGCTAGGATGCAAGAAGAAATAAAAGTAATATATGCATTTGTTAGTAAAAAAAACAATCTGGGAAGGAAAAAAGAAAAGAAAAAAGAAATATTTTTTTTTTTTGAAAAAAGAAGAAAAGAAGGGTAAAAAACAAAAAAAAATAAAACTTGGAAGAGGAAGTAGAAAGAATAAGAATATAAGGAAGAAAGAAAGAATCAATAAATGTAAAAAATCAATAAAAGAAAGAAAGAAAGAAAGAAACAATAAAAGAAGAAAAAAGAAATGAAAAATAACAAAGAGAATGAAAGAAACAAGAAAAAAGAATGAAATACAACAGGAATACAAAGAAAAATCATTTCAAAATCTTATTTCAGTGGTAGGTAAATATGATAAAAATGAAAGAAAAGAATGTTTTTTTTAATTAATCAACAATTAAATGTATAAAAGGTATTGTGAAATTCAGATTTAAGAAAATAATGAAATAAGAATGAAAGAGCAGAGTGACTGTAGAAAATGAGATGATCAAGAATGAAAATAGAAAAGATGTGAAAAAGTAAAAAAAAAAAAAAAAAAAAGAAAGTGATGAAGAATCAGGGAAAATTGAAAGAAATGAGGAACGAGAAAAATATGGTGCGACAAGAGAAAAGAATAAAATACATTTAAACGAATTTATAAGAAAAAGTAAACAAACCAAATTTGAAATTATGAAATAAGTAAAGAAAAAAAACAAAGGAAAATTATAGAAATCTAATTGATGATAAGAGAAAGTTAGACAGAAAGAAAAAAGAAAATTTAAGGAAGGAAGGAAGGAAGGAAGGAAAGAAGGAAGGAAATTAAGGAAGACTTCATTGGAAAAAGAAGGAAGGAAAAAGAAACAATTTTAAGGAAGGAAGGAAAAATTTAATTCTAAAAAAAGGAAGACAAAATCCAAGGAAGGAAGGAGAAAGAAAGAAGGAAGGAAAAAAAGAAAGGAAGGAAGGAATCTAAAGAAAAATAAAGATCAAAGGAAGGAAGGAACAGGAAAAAAGGAGACAGAAAGAAAATTTGAAAAAAGGAAGGAAGGAGAAAAAAAGGTGCAGAAATTAGAATTTTTGAAGTGAAGGAAGGAAAAAAAAATTTTTGAAGGAAGAAAAAGGAAGGAAACAAAGAAAGAAAGAAAGAAAGAAACAAAGAGACAAAAAAAAAAAAGAAAAAAAGGAAAAAAACAAAGAAAGAAAGAAAGAAATTTTTACTTAAAATTAAAGAAATAAAAAAAAAAAGAAACAAACAAAAAAAAACCTTTTGAAAGAAAAAAAATTAAAAGAAAGTCCCAAGAAACAAAGAAAAATAAAAAAAGAAAGAAAAGAAAGAAAAAAGAAACAAAAAAAAAGGAAATAAATTTCAAAAAAAAATTGTGAAGGATATAAAATAAAAGAAGGAAAATAAATTAAGAAAGAAGGAAAAAGACAAAGAAAAAAAAAGAAAAAAGGGAAAAAAAGAAAAAAAGAAAAGGAGAGAAAAAAAAGAAATGATAAAAAAAGACAAAATTCAATGAAAGGAAGATATGAAGAAGGAAGAAAAAAGAAAAAAAGGAAAAGAAAAGAAAGAAGGAAAGAAAAAAAAAAAAAAAAATATGTTCTAAATAAACAAAAATTCAAAAAAGAAAAAAGAAAAAAAGAAAAAAGGAAGAACATGCTAAGAGGAATTGAAAAAGAAAATTGTAAAGAAAAAGAAAAAAAAAAGGAAGGAAAAAGAAAGAAAAAAAGAGAGAAAGAAATCCAAAGAAACAAAAAGAAAATTGAAAAAAGAAAAAAAAAAAGAAAGAAAGAAAGTTTTTGAAAAAAAAAAAGAAAAAATTAAAAAAAAACAAAGAAAGAAAGAAAGAAAAAAAAAATTTCCTTGAAGAGAAAGAAAGAGAAACAAATAAAAAGAAAAAGAAAGAAAAAAAGAAAAAAAAAGAAAGAAGAGAAGAAAATAAAAGATCAGAAAAAAAGAGAAACAAACAAAAAAGGAAAAGAAAAAGAGAAACAAAAAAAAAAAAAAGAAGAAGAAAGAAAAACAAAACAAAAAGAGAAAAAAAGAGAAAATGAAAAAAAAGAAAAGAAAGAAAAAACAAAAATTAAAACTTTTAAGAAACAAAAAAAAACAAAAAGAAAAGGAAGTTAAAATAAGGAAATGAAACAAAAAAGATTTGAAAAGAAAGAGAAAATTAAAAAAAAATCAGAAAATTAAAAAGAAACAAACAAAAAAAAAAAAAGAGAAAGAAACAAACAAAAAAAAGAAAACAAAGAAAAGAAAAAAAAAAGAGAAAAAAAAAAACAAACAAAAAGAAAAAGAAAGAGAAACAAACAAAAAAAAAAAGAAAAAAAGAGAAACAAACAAAAAGAGAAAGAAAGAGAAACAAACAAAAAGAGAAAGAAAGAGAAACAAACAAAAAGAGAAAGAAAGAGAAACAAACAAAAAGAGAAAGAAAGAGAAACAAACAAAAAGAGAAAGAAAGAGAAACAAACAAAAAGAGAAAGAAAGAGAAACAAACAGAAAGAAAAAAAAAAAAACAAAAAAAAAAAAGAAAAAAAAAAACAACAAAAAAAAATACATAGAAAAAGAAAATTTTTAAAAAGAAAGGAACGAAAAGTGACACAAACAGAAAGAAAGATACATAAAAAAAGAAAGAGAATGAAAGAGAAACAAACAAAAAGAAAGAAATGTAATGAAAGAAAGAACTAGAAAGGGAAAGAAACAGAAAGAAAGGAACTGAAAATTAAAAAGAAAAGTAAAAAAGAATCAGAAAGTAAAAAAGAAAAGGTACAGAAATTAATTATCTTAGATAAATGAAAAAAAAAAAAAAAGAACTGCCATGGAGAATAAGAAAGAATGAGCACTAAGGAAAAAGAAAGAAGGAAAAGAGATAGAAAATAATTTCTAGAAAAATGAAGAAATAATAGAATCATAAAGTAATATAAAAAAAGTAAAAAAAAAAAAAAAAAAAAAAAAAAGGAGAGATACAATGAAGAGCTAAATAAAAGAATGAGAGAGAAAATAAAATTAAAAAATTTAAAAAAAATCTAGTAACAAAAAGAAAAAGCTAAAAATTGTGAATAAATTGAGAGAAAGGAAAAGAAAAGAATTGCAAAAAGATACATTAATAAAATTAGAAAAGGAAATGGCTTTTAAATGGAAAAACCTGTTTCATGAAATACAACAAAATAAAATACAAAGCTGAAGAATTAAGAGAATAGAAAATCAAGAAACAAAACCAAAAAATCCTGACTGATTTGTATCTTGGTAAATCTTTAATTGGTGGTTATAAAACATTTCAGTTCAAATTTAACTCATTAAGCCCTCTGCCTTGTTCACTGACTCCACCCAATTGCCTGACTTTAATTAGAGATGTGAAGATAATTAAGCTGATCGACAATATTATAATGATTGACCACATCTAACCACTTGTACATTAGTGTTTTATGTTATCTGCATTTTAGCTTGTGAACAAAACAGAATATCATATTGCAGGTAGGTGTAGGCCTCAACCAATGTCAAATTGATGGCAACCTTTTACACTATAAATCCTCATATACAGTAGACCAAAAGATCTAAGTTTGAAGTCCCATGCAGTGTTGATGGAGAACTTAAGATCTGACCATCTCTGGGACATCAAAAGTGACGTCATGTCACATTATTAGTCACTTGTAGATATAAATAAATAATCTCTGAATTTAAAAGAAATCTATGCTATCTCTAAATCAACTACAAACATCAAGAAATGCTTTCCTACAGCTTTTTAAGTATAATGGGAGGTAGAGTCTGGCTGAAGGATCCCTGGTGCCAAGTTGAATTATTTTTTTGGAAGATTTCCAGACAAAAATAAATAGATTAGAAAAGTATGAATGCTAAAATTTAGAAGGTATGAAAAAAAAGGAAAAGAAAAACAGGAGAAGAAAAAAAAAAATAATATATGAAAAAGAAAAGAAGATGTAAAGTTTAAGAAGGAAAAAAAAAAAAAAGAAAAAAAAGGAGGAGGAAAAAAAGAAAAAAAAAGGAAGGAAGAAAATCCCCCTAAAGAAACAGAAGAAAAAGAAAAAAAAAGAAAAAAGGAAGAAAAAGAATAAAAAAAAAGGAGGAGGAAAAAAAAAGAAAAGAAAAGGGAATAAAAATTAAAAAAGAAAAAAAAAAAAAAAGAAAGGTTTAAAATAAGTAAAGAAAGAAAAGAAAAAAGGAAAAAAGAAAAATGAAAGAAAGGAGTTCAAGAAGAAAATTTCCTTGGAAGGAAGGAAAAGGAAAAGGAAAAAAGAAAAGAAAAATCAGAAAGGAAAGAAAAAAAAAGGAGAAAAAAAAGAAAGAGAAAGAAAGGAGGAGAAGGAAAAAAAAAAAAAAAAAAGAAGAAGAAAAAGAAAGAAAAAAAAGGAGGAAAAGGAAAAAAAAAAAGAAAGAAAAAAGAAATAAAAACAAAAGAAAAAAAGGAAAAAAAAAAAATAATTAAGAAAAAATAAAAAGTGGAAATAAAAAATAAAGAAAAATAAAAATAATAAAGAAAATAGAAAGTGTAAGAAAGGAGAAGGAAAAAGAAAAAAAAAAAAATAAATCAAAAAAAGGAAAAAAAAGATAAAGAAGAAAGGATAAGGAAAAAAAAAAAAATTTAGGAAAAAAGACAATTTTATTGAAAAAAAAAATAATAAAAGAAAATAAAAAAGGAAATAAAATAAAATATATTTGCTTTTTTTAAAAAGAAAAAAAGGAAAAAAGAAAATCAAAAAGAAATTTAGTTAAAATTTTAAAAAAAAGAAAAAATTAATAAAAAAAAAAATTTAAAAAATTAAATTTAGGAAAGAAAAGAAAATTTATTTTTTTATTTTTATTTTAAAGAAATAGAAAGGAAAAAAAAAATTTGAAAAGAATGAAAAATTTCTTTGGAGGAGGAAGGATTTTGGAAAAAAAAGAAATAAAAAGAAAGAGGAAACAAAAAAGAAAAAAAAAAAAATAAAGGAGAAAAAGAAAAAAAAAAAATAAAAAAAAAGATGAAAAAAAAAAAAAAAATATCCGTTTTTTTTTTTTTTAAGAAAAATATTTTCTTAAAAAATAAAAAGGAAATTTGTTATCAAAAAAGGAAAGATTAAAAAGAAATTTTAAAGGAAAAAAAAACAAAAAAAAAGGAAAGACAAGAAAAAAAAATTTTAAAAAGAAAAAAAAGAAAAAAAAAGAATAAATTTTTTTAATTTTAAAAACAAAAAGAAAAAAATGAAAATTTAAATCAAACAAGAAATTTTTTGTTTTTTTTTTTTTTTTAAATTGAATAAATAGAAATAAAAAAAAAAATAAAAGAAATTATTAGGAAAAAAAAGAAAAAAGAAATAAGAAAAACAAAGAAAAAAGGGAGGAAAAAAAATTTTTGAAAAAGAAAAAAAAAAAAAATTTTAAACAAAGGAAAAAATTTAAATAAAAAAAATATATTTCTGTTTAAAAAATAAAAGGAAAGTTGAAATTTTTTATTTTCAATTCACTTTTGGAAAAAGAAAAAAGGAAAATATCAATTGTAAATTAAAAAAAACAAAAAATTTAAAAATTAAATTAAAAAAAAAGAAAGAGAATGTTTAGAAAAGGAAAGAAAAGAAAAAAAAAAAAAAATATATTAAAAAAGAAAAATAAAATTTAAAAAAAATATAAACAGAAAAATTTTTTTTTCATTTTTTTTTTTTCATAAAAAACTTAAAAAAAAAAAAAAAAAAAAAATCAAAATAAAAATGAAAAAAAAAAAAATTAATTTTAATTTAAAAAAATAAGGAAAAATAAAGGAAAATATAAACAAAAAAATTTAGAAATTTTAAGAAAAAAAAAAAATTTAAAAAAAAAATCAATGAGAAAAAAAAAAAATTGTTGTAGAATTTTCATGAAAATTAAAAAAAGAATAATATAATATATTAAAAAATTTAATATATAAAAAGAAAATTTTTTAAGGAATTTAAATTTTTAAAAGAAAAAAAAAACAAAACAAGTTTTTTCATATTAAAAAATCAAAAGATTTATTTTTTTCCATCAAATGCCCTAAAAGAAGGATTTTTTTTTTTTCAATTTTAAATAAAAAATTTTTAAAGTTGAATGAAAAAATGAAAAAAATTGAAAATTTTTCTGAAATATGATATTAAAAAATTCTTTTGAAATAAAAAATATTTTAAAGTAAAAATTAATATTATATAAAATAATTCAGAAATGAATCTTTAGTTGGTGTGGTGTAAAATAAAATTAAGTGAAAATGGCAAAATTTTTGAATTTCAATTGTTTATCTTATTTATCACTTGTTCAAAGATTAAAATGTTTTCTAATATGGCTGTAAAAGAAAATTTCTTCTGAATAAGATCTCTCATCAAAATATTCTTTCCAATTATTGACAATTTTTTAAAAAAATCTATATATCCATCATGATCCATCTGAAAATGTTAAAAATTTCAAAAACCATTTTTATTTTTTTTGACTCCACAGTTTTAATCCACCATTATTAAAAATCATCACATTAATCACATTTTTTTTTTATTAAAATTCAGTTTGACAAAATAAAATGATAAAAAATATATTTTATAGATGAATAATTATTTTTTTTAAATTCATTTCAAAAATTAAAAAAAAATAGATTTTTCTTTGTATTTTAAAATAAAAAGGTGTTTATGAATTTCAAGAAAATTGAAAAAAAAAATTAAAAAAAAAAAAAAAATATATGATTCAGAAAAACAGAAAATTTAACAGTTATAAATTTAAAAAATAAATTATTAAAAAATTATTGATAAAAATATTTTTGTTCAATATATTTGCCAATAAGAATTTGTTCAATAAAATTTTTAGAAATAGTTAAATCTTTATTGAAATACGAAGGAAATGAAATTGTACGATGCCACAATGTTTCTGTAACAAAATTCTTTTAATGAAAATATTGGAATTTATTAAAATCTATTTGAAAAATTAAATGTAATTTGTGAAAATTTTTCCATTAAATTAAATCATTAAAATTCATCTTTGAACAGATTTTTTTTTCTATAGGAATTTTGCAGGTTTAAAATAATTCATTATTTTTTTTGATTGATTTTTGGACTTTTACTTAAAATTGAGGAAAACAAATTCAAAAATATTTTTTTATAATATGAATCTTGCTTTATGTAAATTTCCTGGATATTCTTATAAATTTTTTATTCATTTAAAAAAAAATAGAAAATATTTTTATTCGATAATAAAAAGAAAAAACCATTAAAGTTGGATTGCAATTTATATTTTATAAAATCTTTTAATGCAAATGTTCTGATAAGCTAAAAACACTTTGATCCATGATAAAATTTATAAAAATGCCTTTTTAAAATTTTTATACATATCTATTGTAAAAAAAAAATAAAAAATTAAAACTAAATATGATAATTTTTTTGAATAAATGAAATATCATATTCAATGAAAATTTAATTATGCAAAATATTGAATGATTTATGAATGTTTCTTTTCTATAAATTTTAAAACTTTTTAAAAAAAAATTCATTTTAAAAAAAAAAAAATTTAATAATTTCAAATAAATCAAAAGAATAAATTTTTAAATCAAATAAAATCAAGATAAAACAAATGGCATTTCAAAACTATCAAATATAAAAAAATAAAAAAAAATAAATTTTTTAAAAATTGTAAATTAAATAAAAATCTTTTTGAAATGTTCTTCATTGGGATTAGATAAATAAGAAAAAAGTTTTGTGTCAGAAACTGATGAAGGAAAATTTTTTTTTTATTTTTGTGTGTTGTTTTTTTTGTCTAAATATTAATTTTGGATTATCTTAAAAAAAAAGATGCCCTGAAAATTTCAATTAAAAAAAAAAATGTCATTTATCCTGAAAAAAAAAATAGCCAAAATAAAATTCTTTTGAGAAAAAAAAATCAAATATCTCAAATTCAAAAATAAAAAAAAAAAATAAACATTTAATATGTTTGA